GAGGGGTGTGGGAGAGCTGCTGGGGTCAGGAAATGAGGGGACAAAAAGGAAGGGCAGGGACACCATGGGCAGGATGCCATGGAGGGGACAGGGACACCGTGAAGGGGCCACCATGGAGGGGACGGGGACATCGAGGGACATCGAGGGACATTGAAGGCAGGACATGGCCAGTTTGGAGGGGACACTGAGGGACATGGAGGGGAGGACATGGTGGCACAGCCACCGCAGTGTTGTGGCCATGGTGGCAGTGGCCATGCTGTGGCTGTGGTGGCCATGACCATGCTGGGGTGGCCACAGTGGCCATGGTGGCCATCCTGGGGTGGCAGTGGCCATGCTGGGGTGGCCGCAGTGGCCACAGTGGCCATACTGTGGTGGCTGCAGTGGCCATGCCGGGGTGGCAGTGGCCATGCAGTGGTGGCCGCAGTGGCCATACTGTGGTGGCCGCAGTGGCCATGCTGTGGCTGTGGTGGCCATGACCATGCTGGGGTGGCCGCAGTGGCCGCAGTGGCCATGCAGTGGTGGCAGTGGCCATGCTGTGGCTGTGGTGGCCATGACCATGCTGGGGTGGCCGCGGTGGCCGTGGTGGCCATGCAGTGGTGGCAGTGGCCATGCTGTGGCTGTGGTGGCCATGACCATGCTGGGGTGGCCGCGGTGGCTGCGGTGGCCATGCCATGGTGGCAGTGGCCATGCCGTGCGCTGAACGGGCTGAGCGTGACCGGGGACGCGCAGCACCAGTACCAGACCCTGCACAAGATGTACAACAACTGCGAGATCGTCATGGGCAACCTGGAGATCGTCCTCATCGACCACACCCAGGACCTCTCCTTCCTCCAGGTGACCCCTGCGGGGCTCCGGGGGGACGTGGCCACCTCGGGGGGGATGTGGCCACCTCGGGGGGGATGTGGCCACCTCGGGGGGGGGACGTGGCCACCTCGGGGGGGGATGGGGACCACGCAGGGGACATCGGGGGACATCGCTGCAGTCACCCAGGGGAGGATGTGGTCAGTTTGGGGGTGACACGGCCACCACGGGGACCATGGCCACCAAAGAGAGGACGTGGCCAGTTTGGAGAGGACAGGTGGCCCAGAGGGACATTAAGGGGGGGACGTGGCCACTTTGGGGATGCCATGGCCACCACGGGGAGCACGTGGCCACCAAAGGGAGGATGTGGCCAGTTTGGAGATGCCATGGCCACCACGGGGAGCACGTGGCCACCAAAAGGAGGCCGTGGCCGGTCTGTAGGTGCCATGACCACCACAGGGACCACGTGGCCACCAAGGGAGGACATGGCCACTTTGGAGGTGCCATGGCCACCACGGGGACCACGTGGCCACCAAGGGAGGACATGGCCACTTTGGAGGTGCCATGGCCACCACGGGGAGCACGTGGCCACCAAAGGGAGGATGTGGCCAGTTTGGAGAAGCCATGGCCACCACGGGGAGCACGTGGCCACCAAAGGGAGGATGTGGCCAGTTTGGAGAAGCCATGGCCACCACGGGGAGCACGTGGCCACCAAAGGGAGGATGTGGCCAGTTTGGAGAAGCCATGGCCACCACGGGGAGCACGTGGCCTCCAAAAGGAGGCCGTGGCCGGTCTGTAGGTGCCATGACCACCACAGGGACCACGTGGCCACCAAGGGGAGGCCGTGGCCAGTGTGTAGGTGCCGTGGCCAGCAGCCTGTGGCCACGGCGTGACCCCGAGCCCCCGCAGACCATCCGGGAGGTGACCGGGTACATCCTGATCGCCATGAACGTGTTCGCGGCGCTGCCGCTGCGGAACCTGCGCGTGATCCGCGGCACGCAGTTCTACGAGGACAGGTTCGCGCTCTTCGTGCTGCTCAACTACAACCCCAACAGCACCCAGGCCCTGCGGCAGCTCGGCCTCAACCGCCTGACAGGTGGGGACACACCGGGGACACACCGGGGACACACCTGGGGACACTGGGGACACACCGGGGACACAGGGGGGACACACCGGGGACAGTGGGGGGACATTGGGGGACACTGGGGACACACCGGGGACACACCGGGGACAGTGGGGACACACCAGGGACACACCAGGGACAGTGGGGGGACATTGGGGGACACTGGGGACACACCGGGGACACTGGGGACACACCGGGGACAGTGGGGACACACCTGGGGACAGTGGGGACACACCGGGGACACGGGGGCGACACTGGGGACACTGGGGGAACACTGGGGACACACCAGGGACACACTGGGGACACACCGGGGACACACCGGGGACATTGGGGGACACTGGGGACACACCAGGGACACACCGGGGACACACCGGGGACACTGGGGACACACCAGGGACACACTGGGGACATTGGGGACACACCTGGGGACATTGGGGACACATGGGGGGACATTGGGGACACTGGGGACACACCAGGGACACAGGGGGGACACTGGGGACACTGGGGGAACACTGGGGACACCACGGGGGGACACTGGGGACACTGGGGGGACACTGGGGGGACACTGGGGACACACCAGGGGACACTGGGGGACACTGGGGACACCACAGGAGACACACGGGGGACACTGGGGGACATTGGGGGACACTGGGGACACCACAGGGGGACACTGGGGGGACATTGGGGGGTTCTGGGGACACCACAGGGGGACACTGGGGGGACATTGGGGGGTTCTGGGGACACCACAGGTTGGTCCCTGTCACCCCTGTCACCCCTGTCACCCCCAGAGATCCTGGCGGGGGGGGTGTACATCGAGAAGAACGCTCAGCTGTGCCACGTGGACACGGTGGAGTGGAGGGACATCATGAGGGACACGCGGCTGGAGCCCCTCGTGAGGGACAACGGCCGGGGCTGTGCGTGCGGGGACAGCGGGGGGACACCCCGGGGACACCCCGGGGACAGCGGGGACAGTGGGGGGACACCCCGGGGACA